TGCCGCACAGTGGTGGCGCACGCCTCTAATCCCAGCACTTGGGAGGCAGAGGCAGGCGGATTTCTGAGTTCGAGGCCAACCTGGTCTACAGAGTGAGTTCCAGGACAGCCAGGGCTACACAGAGAAACCCTGTCTCAAAAAAACAAACAACAAAAAATATTCATTAACCTCAGCTAGCCCCAGGCTAGCCTGGAATATATAAGACCCTGCCTTAAAAAAATTTTTTTTAATTAAAAAAAAAAAATGTTGCCAAATATGGAGCTCTGTGAGTTCCAGGCCAGCCTGGTCTACATAAAGAGTTCCAGGCAGGCCAGGACTACATACTGAAACTCATAAAAATATTTGAGAATGAAAATGTAAAATTCCAGTATGAAGCCTCACTGCTTTGGAATTCTGTGTAGAAGTTTATTGAATCCATAAGTCTCCTCGACAGAGCTGCCTAAAAAGCCCTGAACAATGATGACACCAATTGCCGTGTTAACATGGAAGAGGGAAAGCTCTCAGGGCCTCAGGGCCTCAACCCATATATTATAGATAGATTATATAATATACACTCATAGATAATGAACACTATATATTAATGTATTTTATATAAGATATACTATATTTTGTATTTAACATTTTTATATTTATTATTAGATATTATGTAGGTCATATAATATACATTAATGTATAATGTAACATATAATAAATATATATAATTATATAATATATACATAAATTTAAAATTATATATTTAATAAATAAATATATTTTATTTAAAGAGGCCATGAATTTGAGAGAGCTCAAAGAGATAGATCCATGGGAGGGTTGGAGGGATGAAAGAAAAGGGGAAACATAGTGTAATTAAAATTTCAAAAACTTTTTATTCTGGTCTACAGAGTGAGTTCTAGGACAGCCAGGTCTATACAGAGAAACCCTGTCTCAAAAAAACAACAAAAAAGAAAAAAACTTTTTTAGAAAAGTTCACCAGTCATGGTGGCACATGCCTTTAATCCCGGTACCTGGGAAGCAGAGGCAGGTTGAGCTCTGGAAGGTTTGTGGCTATCCTGGTCTACACAGTGAGCTCCAGGAGTCAGAACTACATAATGAGATCCTGTCTGGGTATCTAGAGTTGGAAAGATGGAGAGATAAGAACACTGACTGTTCTTCTAGAGTACCAGGGTTTGAAGACCTCCGCAGAGGGGAGACCCTCTCTCAAGTCTCAGAAAGTC